GCAAACACACTTTAAACAGGCAGTATCATTACGAGATCACAGCAGGCAGGCCGATGATGCCGACGGAGAGCAACATCCTGTAACATCTCAAATTAAGCATAAGGCGGGTCAAGTGAACTACAAGGTGGAAGACGAGATGGACCAAAGACGTCTTGCGCCACTCCACAGCTGAGAGATAAAACAAGGTCCTTCACGGTAAGCGGTGACCAAACATAAGTAGTACGTGCCCAGGTTAACGCCAGTTAATCAGTACTATCCTATGTTCTAAGGAGTTAGCCTAGTTATCACTGTCTAGTACTCGCCTACGCACTATATCGTTGCGGACACCTTGGTGACATCCGATATCAAAAACTCTCCGCAGACAGACTTGAAGGCGTCTCAGATCTTCAGACCGAGTGAGACGATGCAGCCAAGTCAGCATTCATATCCCCTGCAACGACAACGATATCTGGTGTAATAGCGTGTCCCGTTCGTGGTAGAAGGCGTCCGTGGCAGCATCAGAATTGCAGTCGGTGAGGCCATAAGCGGAAGTCACAAACAAGCAGCGTCTAGCAGTGCTTCCTGAATCAACCTTAGTTGATGAAGTCATAGAGTTTGTCCACGAGAACCCAAACAACCAACAATGACTCAACCTTGGAGCTGAGAACAATGCCCACTCCAGCTTGACCCCTGAGTGCCGAATCAGCGTCTCCGGATGCGTGCAACCAAAAGGTAGCGGACAAACCGGGAGCAGTTAATTTAACAACCCCGTGGGGGTCACTGATACTAATTTCGAACACAAAACAAACCACAATGTCCAGCGTGTCTAACGTGCGTGGGAGTGCAGCCTGTTGACCTAGTTGTGTTAGAGTACGAAGGTTAAACACCACTATGGAAATGGGACAGCATACTTCTTGAGTGTTGCGGACAGACGTCAAATGGGTGGTGCTGAAAGGTAGCCGCAGATGGAGTGATTCGTGGCTGCTATCGATAAAGCTGGGAATTATGGAAGGAAGGTTAGTATTGGGGGCTGCGAAAGAAGTAAGAGAAACAGGTGGATAGGAAAGTAGGCGCCAGCAGTAGCACCTTTACTCTAATCCGCCCTGCTGTATGCACCAGATAAGGCGACCTTTGAGAAGCTGCGCGACGGCCGATACAGAATGTGGTTGAAGCTGGAGGAAACGTACATGGTTGTATGTGGGCTGAGATACTGCCAGGGAACCCACACCTAAACGAGAGAAAGATTAGGGTCCTCAGCCAATGCCTTTAGCCCAAAAGTCTGTTGGCAAGGCAGTGGATGTGGTAGTGGTTGCACAGAAAATGACGCCCTCCGATTTTAAACCCCAAACGTGGAGGACCAGGAGACTGAGTTCGTATGACCTCTGCCCCTCTGTCCAAGGGCTCTACGCAATACAGCTTAAGCGGTCGACGAGGTACGCAAAACGTATCATCACGTTTAGATCCAGTCTCGTTGCGACGGGATCCCCAACGAGAACATTGAGGGACGGCTCCGACCACTGCGCTTATGAGTTGTTCAGTGGACAATTCCCGGCATCAACACCACCGACCTAAATATGCGGATGGATGCACCATTAACATGAGTTGTTCACCGGCCTTCATAGCAACAAAGCTGTGATCGTAAAAGGCATCAGCACTACATCAGTAAGCAGTGCCGACGCTACGCTATCAGTCAACCACCAACAGACACACTTGGGCTAAGGATACCTTGAGGGTTTCCCGGACACCACGCGGGCTGAAACCCGCGTCCTCAGATTACAAAGCAGGCGTACGACACTTAACGCTATAAGCCAGGAAGCTAGAGTAACAAAAGCCGGTGGTTTTCGCGGATTTCCACAGAAGAATGCAATAGGCGGATTAGAATGTATGTATGTAATCTCAACAGTCTATTAACTAGACATAGAGCCAGCATAAAATCATGGCGATCAGCAGATAAACAAGATTCATCGCGTCATAACCATCGTGGCATGATAGTTGAAGGTGAGCAACACACTTCAACTAATATGCCGCAAGGAAGAATGGAGCATTTTGAAAAAAAAGTAGAGCAAAACATTTTTAGTTTGTTTTTTTCACACGCCGCTTTTGTTCTTTTTTGTCATTTTAGTCTTTGTAGTATTATACATGTGAAGCAATACAATACTGCACACAATTCTTCCACTGATTCCGGTTGCGGGCCATATCTTCAAGTGTGCTAAGCCATTGGCACTCCTCATCTTTGGGTCCCCATCCTGGAAGACGTACGGATCCAACAGCGGATAGACACGACGTCAGTGATTTCATGTGCTGCCGCCAAGTGGAAAGCTGACCACCACGCGGTCGCCTCCAGCCAGGTCCTTGACGAGCGAATAGTGCGCGACGCGGTAGACGCTCAGGTGCCATACGTAGGACGTGACCGAGCCATCTTAACTGGCGCAACAAAACCAGTTTGTTGAAGGGAATACTCACATTCCCCAAGATGCGACGTCGAACGTCATTACTATTAACCCGATGTTGCCACCAAACACGAGCGATCCTCTTTAAGCAACCGTTATCGAACGCAGAAAGACGACGCATGTCTTCCACGCGAATCGGCCAGGACTCGCATCCATACAACAATACTGAGCAAACTGATGCGCTGTAAACGCGGCCCTTTAGCGAGAATGAGACGTCGCGATGACGCCACAAACGCCTCAGACTGACAAATGCTGATCGAGCTTTAGTGATACGAAGAGAAACTTCTTTGCTGATAGTGCCGTCAGCAGAAACACAGGTCCCAAGGTAGACGAAACTATCTACTTGTTCAAATTGTGCACCTTCAAGAGTGAGTACGGGAGCAGGTGAAAGCCAATCCTTGAGCAGTACTTTACACTTCGATGGGGCAAAGCTCATGCCATACTTAGGTGCTTCAACCGCCAAACGATCCAGTATGAGTTGCATACTCTGAGGATCGTCACCAAGTAAGGCGATATCATCAGCATAATCTAAGTCGGTCGCGCGCTCACCCGGTAGAAGCTCTAAGCCAAAATGTTGGAAACCTTCCAGAGCATTCGACAGAACGTCGTCGATTGCGAAGTTGAAGAGGAATGGGGAAATAGGGAAGACCTGTCGCACACCGCTATTGACAGCGAACTGCGAGAAAAGCTTGCCATAGACCCTCACTCTGCCGAATGTATGAAGGTAAAGTGCTCGTAAGATGGTGGTATATTTCTCTGATACCCCATTCTTTAGTAAGCAACGCCATAAAGCCGGTCGATCAACGGAGTCAAAAGCGGCACGTATGTCTAGAAATGCAATGATAGTGGGCCTGCGATAAATGTGGCGATGTTCGAGGAGCTGGCGGGGCGTGAAGATTTGATCCACGCATCCGCGGCCAGGACGGAAACCAACTTGTTCTTCACGGTAGTATGATTCACGTACTAGGGATAGCCGGCGAAGCAGAATGGATGCCAATAGCTTAGAGGCAACCGAAATAAGACTAATCCCGCGATGATTTGCACATGAAGTGCGAGCGCCTTTCTTGTAAACCGGGACAATAACTGATTCTACCCAAGTGGAAGGCACTTTCTATTCATGCCAAATTTGTGCGAACAGCGCGGTCAGCTGGTTAATGATCGCCACACCGCCGTACTTAAATAGGTCCGGAGGAAATCCGTCTAAGCCGGCAGTCTTGAAGCGCTTCAAGCGTCGAATCTCGAGGCAGACTTCCGCTTCGCTGGGTGGATTCAGAGGGACGAGTCAGGGTGGACAACAACGTGTACTGCATGTACTGATGGATGGTGGAGGCCAGTTGAACTGCGAGTGAAAGTGCTCGGCCCAGCGGTCCATACGCCTCTGTTGGTTGGTGATCGGAGACTCATCCACCACACAAATGACCTCACTGACACCAGGCTTCCTGAGGCCAGTGGAGCGAATGAGTTGGAAAAGCCTGCGAGTGTTGCCAGAGAGCGCTGCGGTCTCCATCTTTAAAGCACGCACAGACCACCATGTCTCGCGATCCTTGCGTAGGCTTTGCTTGAGCAGTCGGTTGGCAGAACGGCGCCGCTCGTTGCAATCTGATTCCGCGGGGATATTTTTACGGCGTTCGAACAACTCCAGAGAACGAGCAGAGATCCAAGCCTTCAAGGGGCGTCGCGTTAGGCCGCACCATGACTGTCCGGAAATGGTCATTGCCTTCCGTATACAAGTCCAGTGTTGTTCCACTTCTTGCGGTGGATTGCAACTGAGTGCATATGCCAATGAAGACTGATAGCTCGCCTGGACAGAGGGATCAGTTAACCAGTTTACATCTATCTTGCGGTGCTTCGTGTTTCGGGATCCTAAAAAACATACAGATTTTCGCGCAGACCAGAGCATGGTTTGAGTCAACGAAGGTGGACCAAAAGGACCTGCAGTCCAGTACGCTGCCGCGCCATCTGAAGCTACTTGTAATGTGATCAATTTGAGACCCAAGCAGATTAGAAAGAACCAAGGTTATGGATAAGCTGAGATTAGAATTAGAAACAAAAGAATCAAATGGAACGGGAAACATACAGAATGGTTGACGGAATATTATGAACAGCGCAACTCTACTACGTATTCGGCATGCTCTTTGCGGTTTCCAAAACAGCACCGTAGTTCTCGCCTACTTGACCCGCCAGACCGAAAGTATAAATGCATGACAAATGGAAGGGCGTTGGGGACGAAAACGTAAACAAAGAAAAGTTAGTATGACGAGCCAGTTCAGAGTACCGCCACAGGAATGAAATAACAAACATGAGTTCAGAACAAAATTGATACCAAAATGACGGGCAGAGATGCACAAGTTGGAAGATTCATTCTTAGTCACAGTGAAGAACATATGCGTCAGCCGTGCTCAAACATACTAGGTTATCGAGTCGCAGCGAAGCAGAATGGGATACGAGATGTGTCGAAGAGATCTGTCAAGGGCACAAGCTGTATTAACGCACCTAAAATTAACCATCTTGTTGCGACGGTATAACAAAAGCAAAATTCTAAGGCCAATTGACACACACCGTTGCACTCACTCAAGTGAACAGAATCTATGTGGATCTGGAGATCGTGCGTTTTGGCAAAGTCCTTCTTGCAATACTCACATGTACGAGGTAAATATTCTGAAACAGAAAAAAGGACGTTGATCGTTACACAAAGAATGTCGAAAGTGGAAATACTAATGCAATGCCGTAAATACGACCAGTACGTGTCACATGATTCGCACCTGTGTCCTTCATGCTTTGTAACCGCAAATATAGCAATGCCAAGAAGTGTGAGGCAGTGGAGAGATGCGAATACGTGCGAAGGGTACTGACATCAATTATGAATTATGTGCCTGTGTTTGCCGAAGACATTAACATGGACAGAACTGCACAAAACCTCCCACTGAGTTGTGACGGATGAACTGATGCTTGTGAGAAAAGGTACAAAACCTGGGCGACTACATCTAATGTCGCCACAACGATGTAGTGAACTAAATTGCAGATGAGGATGTGGCTGTACAAGATGCACCATAAAAGCCACAAGGCATAAACAACACGCCGCGTTGTCACGCAACCACACCAGAGATTGCAACACGGGGTGGGATACTACGTCGCCCGCAATCACACAGGTTCCAATCCGCGGCCATAAGATTACGAACTAAATACCTGAACCACTCTGTCATTGCAATGTCCAACTTGACAGTGAAACACGTGCGACGAAACAAGAGTTGTGATGAATCAGATTTTCCGATAACACGGACATGCACAGGACATGTGAATATGGTGTCAACCCGAGTAAAAACGAAGCCACTGACCGCTCTCAATACGGAAAAAAGCGGAGCAAGCAATGTAACAATGGCATTCTGCAAAGTATGCGACGTCCACCAAGTAGACCACCTTATAAGTAACCGTAACAAATGTCAGTGAGGTACGCTGGCAAAAAACGTGTGAAAATTAATGACACGAGACGTCGTCCACTGAATCTGTTGAACAGGATCACCAGAATGAAAGTTGAAACAGCAGTCAAAACCTAAAAGGAAGATCCTTGTAAGTGTATACATGCCACTGATCATCATTGACAGGGTAACCGAAGACAAACAAGCATAACCATAACCATTTCGACGAACAATCTCCCCTTGGTACCAGCTGGGTAGTTCGCGTTAATCCTGCTAAGGCGAATGGTTCGGCGGCAGTGTTTTAGGATGTGGTGGGTTTCCACCTGGCAAGCGTTTTCTCTATAAAAATCGCAAATGGTTGCTTAACGACACTGTGCCATAGCAGAGGTGATAAGCCAATAAACAAAGTCACCGTCATACACACTCCAGGGATTCCAGTCATTTAGTAGAAAGTTCCTCTTTCATCCACTTATCAAGCAGACGACCCGACAGAACACAGGCACAACTACGGCCTCACGTTTGCAAATGCAAGCAACGTAGCTGCAAACATCCATACCGACATGCACACAAATACACACCACAGATTCAATATGCTAATGTTAACCTTGAAAAATTATCGTGCCTTTGCCAATCATTCGTGTTGGTATTGATATGATCATGCCTATTCAGGTATGCCTCGCTGTCAAGAATATAGTATTCATTTAGTTATTTAATCACAGTGGGTTCAGCAAACAGTAATGTGCACCAGCTGACTTCCAATTACACATCTATACCCAAACTTACATCGATAAAAACCAGGTAAGAGCACGCGCACATAAACGCTCAACTTTTGTGACAAAACAGCGAAGCGGAGCGATGGAGCACAACACAATAAGAACACATAGGTTACAAAAATTGGACACATTACGCTGCACAAATCTGTCCCCAAACTTGTACTCCAGCGAAACAGATATTATCTTTATGCGAAAACAGCGCAGAAGCAACTAGTGGATAGCGTAGATGACCGGGTATAGTGACATAAGTGAGCAATGAAGCTTCGAGCACATTTCATGTTGAGACTGATATTGCACACATCATGCTTCCTTACCCCAGTTGGGCTACACCGACTTAAACTAGATCTTCATAACCTTGTTAAAAAGTGCCCCAATTTACTTGATTTGCTCAGTTCTGTCATTCTGTTGCATATTCTGCGTCAATTTGGGGCACTTATTGTCCATTAAATTTTGTGTTGGTTGTTTGATACCCCCTATGTGGCTGTAGTTGATGTGTATGTTGACAACGTGCCCAACTATTGTATACTCTCAAATCGATGACTGGCTCCAGGAGACTGCTAATGTTGCCTGGGATGACGGGTGCACGGCTCAAAAAGTGGTTCCATCTAGTGTGGAGCAGGCTACGGCCCAGTCACCGCCTTGTCTACATCAGATACGCATGACCCCCAAATTAGACAGAGATGCCGCCACTGTGCATGTTGAAGCAATGTGGGTTAGCTCCGTCAAAGAAACGTGACTTCCATCCACATGTCTCCCGGTCCAATTCCTTTGGGTGGTGCAGCGCAAGCCATCCATGGTCGCGCTGTAGGCGCAAGCATCTTTTGGTTGTCCTATGGAAGTCACAGTGACAAGCAAATCCGGAACCGGATGCCATCAATCAAAAATGTGTACACTGTTGCTTGATACCTTGTTCAGGAGCAGTAAGCAATGGCCCTTCCACAACTGAAGATCTAGAATGTCTGTCCACTGAGCTCATGGTGTCGTCTTGATCAGTTTTGAGTGACCGATCAGCAGTACATTCAGTGTTGGAAACAAGTGGCTCCTTCTCCTGACGATCCCAGAGGAAACCATTGTTCTCCCTGTTTGAAAAGGCGGTTAAGGATTTGGTATCCGTTGGCTCAGGTTTCGATCTCAGGATGCAGAGACTCAAAGGCAGTCCTGGCTGTCGGCGTTGCCCAAGGTCGTGCTAAAAAAAGAGATAAAAACAGCAATGTAAGTAGTCAGAAGCGACTTTCTGACTTGGACCGCTATACGAAAGTACACAGTTCATATACAAAATATGCCAATTATCAAAGTATAACTTCAAAAAGTAATTTTACATCGGAACTGAATGTTAGGCACCGGTTGGCAAATTAGATCCCACTTCATTAGGCTCCTAGTACCTATTAAGATGTAGGTAGAACACGTGCACGAAGAGCTGCTACCTCGGCAAAAGTTGAGTGATCTGACGCTTAAACAGCGGTAGCTAAAAGCTCGCTATATATAAATAGTGAAAATTTAGCCAACTCACTAGACGGTAAGAATCCGTTGAGTGATACAATGCAGGAGACACAAGATGATGCAACATTTCGTCCATTAATTTCTCTCGAAAAATAGTCGCACATGGTACAAATAACCTTCTGCGAAGAAGGCGCATTCACTCGGTATATGTCATGATAAGAAGTATCACCATAAAATACAACATTACATCAGCACGCTGCACTGAAGCATCGCAGATATAAAATTAAGGACTAATAGAGGCGATCATATGAAGTACAAAAAAGGGATAAAGTTGAACCCAGAGACACTGAGTAACCAATCAGGATAAGTTTATATGCATTCCCCGAAATGCAGAAAAAATGGCGGCAGCAATGAGATAGCCTCGTTGCGGCAGTAAATGCACCATATCAAAATCAAAGCAACTTCCCATTCGCATCTGTACACTAAATCAGCTGACAAGTCTGGAGCCCGTGAGCAAAAGGTTATGATTACACTTCTGAGAGAAGCAAGTGCTGGTACTTCAAGACATCAGCAGTACGTCGGTCCATCGTTCCGACACTTCATTGCCATGCAATCACCAACAGTCGCGTGCGCGCTATGAATGCTGCGGTGTCGCCCACACTTACGCAGAGGCCGAGAATTAAACCTACGTAGTTAGGAGCATCAATCCAGTGGTCTTCAACCAGCGGAACTCGTGTAACAATGATAGAGACCACAACACTGGACAAATAGAAACAAGGTATCAATCATTCATCAGTAGTCGGCACTGCCGCTTAGGCGCCACGCAATCTCAAACAGTCGTATGCGAGCGTGGATACTACCAGAGCGCCGAAGATTATAAGTGAAGGATCTAAAGATGATGTGGAGGTTTCAAACATGAGGATCAAAACAACTGTGCCATATAATAACCATAGCGGTAAATTGGAAATGACAGCCTGAACTTCTGACCACTACCCACAGTCGACTATTTCATGCACGTGGCTAATCATGCGCATACGTTTTAAAGGAAGTCTCAACAAACGAAAAGCCTGGCAGCCGAAACGGTTAAAACGAAAGCAGCAGGATACTTGCTTACTAATCAAACAGTAATTTAGGCCACCGTTGGTGAAGCAACTCATCTGTCGCATGTAGCAACTGTAGATCTAGCAGACCGTGTCATAGAACGGCACTAGCCAGTAACTGAGTCCAGATCATTTACGCAGCTTAGCCCTGGCGCAACCTTAGCGAGACTAGCGAATAGCGAATCATCGGAAATGGACGTCGTATCATCGCAGATAAGGTCGCTTAAGCGCCAGATCGAGTTCACCATAGGCCACAAACGCGGTAAATCGTCGCCTCCTCGCAAGAAACCTGACGCTACAGGTTAATGCTTTTATCGGTAAGTGCAATGAGCTTCACTGGTACAGGTGATCTCCCAAGCCGTCGCAAGGACACTGAAACTAAACATGATGGGATGGTTTGCGTACGTCGTCGACCTACAGAGCAATACTGGGTGGGGAGCTTGGGCCTCTTGAGAGCAACTTCTACCAGGTTGGTCAGGGGTCAGACGAACTCAGTCTCCTGGTCCTAGAGGTTGGGGATTTGAAACGTGATGGCGTCCATCTTCGGAAGTGAACCTACCTCTAGTTGGTTCGGCGGTGCCGTACGCCAACAAACGAGTCTCCAGGTTGCGGGTCAGGAAGTGCCTTCCATGCGAAGATAACTGCGAATAAGTCTCGAGTGTTCGCAGGCGAGATGAATAAGAAATCACAGACAATCAGCGGCAGCGTCCTAGAGCGTTGGGGGTTCTGGGTTGGTCAAGTGGCTCTACATTAAATAACACAAGAGCTCGTAAGACGCTGTGTCAAAGCTAATGGGACCGGCTATAGGGTCACTAAACACTCAGTTCTGGTCACACAAGTGAGTAGGTACTTAATGGAGAGCAGATGAACAACCTCGAAGGCCACCACCTTCTGTGAAGACGTATGAGCCACCCGGCTGTCAACGGCCTTCGTACTCTGCGGCGAGTCTGGTATTCCAAGGAATCCTGGCCTCATTGCTGCCTTACTCGGGCGCTTTGGGCGCCCTGAGTAGTTTGCCTCTATTAGAAAGCCGTTTTATCATCACTTAGATAGCCGGCTCCCAAAGGGGCGCGGTATACGTCAATCGCTTCGCTGCCTTGCGGGTTAGGTCTTGCATGACCCAAGTCCCCGGATTGGGTCCCTTAAGTAAACCCTCTTCCTCGGCCTGAGCAACCGGGAAACACCATACCCACACAATCTATGGATTCATGTCTCAATAATTCTTCGCTCGCCTTCCTCGCTCTCGCTCTATCTGCTCTCACTCTCTCGAACTACTCTCCTCGGCAGAGGTGCTGCAAGTTGAACCTGCCAAACCACGTTTTACCGCACCACCGGTTAATCACTTTATTCCACGTTTGTTTAACCCCCATTCTTTGTTTTCCTCTTTCGTTCACAACACTGTGTCGTCTTGGGCAAACCTACTCGCCATACGAATCAGGTGCCCAGGTCCGAGGGTGCGCAAAATCGTGTCGACAAGCCATTTCTAGCGGCCAGTTCCCAATTCAAGCTGGCAACCTTCAATGTGCGGAAGTTGATACAGACTGGATCACAAGCAGCCCTCGCTCGCACTTTAGAAACTACGGCGTTTGATGTGTGCTGTCTCAGCGAGACCCGATTACAGGACCCTAGCACGACGCTGTGACCAATTTGACGGTCAGCGAAGTCCACTGGTATTTTACTTTGCGCCTATCTGGAGACTCAACCGCCGAAGTCGCTTGTTATGCTGGCGTGGAGATGGCGTTGAGCACAATGCAGAGGCCGCGCGCCAGAGAAGATCCCCGTCAACAGTGGACTATGCGTGATCCGACTTGAAAGCGCAGTGCGACTGTCTAGGCGCGAAGCCAACAGACGCTGTCCATTCATTGTCACAGCGTACGCTCTCACAGATTGTAGCCCGCAGTCAGGTAAAGACAAACTCTATGGTCAATTGGCCGGCCTTCTAAGTAAAAAACGCCGTACCGACATCGTGGTGCCCACCAGGGACGTGAACGCGCAGGTCAGTAGACCTGTTGACGAACGTGAACTCGGTGGTCAACACGGCCATGACACTTGCAGAACAGACAATGGTGATGGCCTTCAGCTTTGCCCCGATCACGGCCTGTTTCTATCGAACACTAGCTTTCCAGGATGCTGGCGCCAATGCGCCAGCTGGGGACCCCCATCCTCTGGCCAGCCGTGGACACGTGACCCCATCGCCAGTTATCGCTGGCGGGGCTGCATACATGATTGCAAATCACTCTGGAGTACATATAGTACTTCGGATCACGAGCTGATGTGTGCCAAGGTTGTTCTACGTTTTGGGTACTCCCGGCAGCGTCGCCGGAAACGGCTTGAGGTAGCTAAGCTTTCTGTCCCGAAAGTTCTCCGCGCATTTCGGGATGCCTTGGCCTCAAGATTGAAGACGGCCTCATGCACAGACATTGAAACAATTTGGATACACACCCGCCGCGCCATATACAAGGCAGCAAGCCTGGTCTGTGGCTTCACCAGTGGTCCTGACAACTACTGGATCTCTGCACGATCCCTCCAACTTCTCGAAACCCATGGAACAATTCCTGCTAGCGTTAAATACCATTCATTACGCATGGCTACTAAGGCTGAGCTCAAATAGCTTCTCCAGGAAGATCGCGAGGTCTGGTGGACGCAGCTGGTTATTGAGATGGAGCAAGCGGCCACCTCGGAGAATTTGTGCAAGCTTTTTCTCATGATCCGCTCTACTGAGGGAAACAGGGCGACTGTAAAGAAAATTTTATGCGAAACCAATGGCGAGCCAATCCCTTGTCAAAAACGCAGACTCGAGCGTTGGGCCGAGCATTTCGAGCAGCAGTTTAATAGGCCAACCTCGCTAATGAGTCCCCATCCTAGAGTCCAAAGCGCTAACTGATGTGCAAACGCTTCACCACCATCCGAGACGGAGTTTGCCGACGAGCTTCGCCTCTTAAAGCGCTACAAAGCCACTGGCCCAGATGAGCTCCTTCCGGCTCTTTTTAAAGATGGCGGCCCACCACTTGTTCAGGAGTTAACTGCTCTCCTCCAAGAGATCGGGGTCACTGAAGTTATTCCATCTGATTGGAGCCTAGCGGATATCGTACCCGTCTTCAAAAAGGGCACCCGAACCGGCTGCGCCAAACACAAAGGGATTAATCTCATCTATGTTACTTCCAAGGTGCTCGCAGCTCTGAGTTTAAGGAAGCTCAGCCTGGTACGTGAACAGAGCATATGTGAGGAGGAAGCTGCGCTTCGCTCAGGTCGGAGTTACATCGATCATGTATTTACACTCCGCCAAATACTCGAGCGTCGTCAAACACTTGGCAAGCCAACGATCGGTCATCTTAGACATACCAGCCGCGTTTGACTCAGTCGACAGAGCTGCTCTCTGGAGTTGTCTCCTGAGAAGGAGAGTGCCCGAGAAGTATGCTAACTTAATTGCAAGTGCGAAAACGTGCCTAGCATTGCTTATCACAGAGCTCCATGACTATCCATTTCGGGTAACTTATGCGCAATACGTATTTAACCTGAAAAATGATGTCATCGTTTCTGAGGTAAGAAACTACGTTTCTCGTTTCGAGTGTGCAACTTGTAATATTTGGTTGACATATGTTTATTGTCACATTTATAATGCGTAAAGCGTTGACTGTTAGGCAAA